CTCCTGTTCCACCACATCCCAAAGGTGCTCTACTGGACTGAGATCAGGTGACTGTGGAGGCCTTTTGAGTACAGTGAACTCATTGTCACGTTCAAGAAACCAGGAGATGGATATACTGTGGTCATAAAGGGATAGATATGGTGAGCAACAATACTCCCCAGGTGGTACTAAGGGGCTCAAAGTGTGCCAAGAAAATATCCCTCACACATTACACCACCAGCAATGTGAACCACTGATACAAGGCAGGATGGAGCCATGTTTTCATGTTGTTTATGACCATAATATTTGAATGAGACAGCAGAAATCAAGGCACTTCAGACCGTGGAACGCCTTTCCACTCTTCCATTGTCCTATTGTGGTGAGCCCACGTGAATTGTATCCTAAGCTTCCTGTTCTTAGCTTTAAGGAGTGGCTCTAAAAAAGGTCATATTTTGCAAAATGAATATAATGTTGCATTCAGCAGGACTCAAAACCAAAAACTGAGATCATAAAACTCATAAAGAAAATATTTACAGATCAGCTGAGAGGAATGATTGTTTTCCTTTAGGCTTCTTTACTATTAGACTTCATTTTTTATCCCCTGCAGGATGTTTAGAAGAATGGAGATTTAAGCAAGTTCAGAAATGGCTTCATTTTTTAAGACACAAAACCTACGTCCATCATTTATTACAGATTATCTGACACAGCACTTTACAGCGTTTTTTGACATACAAGACAAAATTCATTAGGTGCTAGAAACACTGGAGTAAATAGCAGGACATCTTCAGAGTGATTAGCATGCATCTGCTGAGAACAATGAATATCTGAACTCGATTTTACGACAACCCTTACAACAGTGTTGGATATATTTCAGTCTTGAGCACTGTTGTGGACTGAAAAACAGACCAACATTTTCATTCCTAGAGCCAATCTGACAGCTGGTCTAAAAATAGCACGTTTGCTGTTGGGGATGTTAAACATGCAGAGCTATCAAACAAAGTTGATCAAGCTAAAACCCCTGAAAGCACCATCATTTTGCAGTAGACTGACTGTGTGGAAAACAAAAGATTTTGCCATTATTCTCTCTGTCGTTTTTCGTTTATGGAGCTTTTAGTGCTCCGGACGCCATCAAACGCTCCTAAAAAATCGTTAACCCCTCTTACACAACACATTCGCAGCAGCTTTTAACTTTGATAGAGCTTATGGACCCTTTTACGCCCCTTGTGTCCCTCTTGGTATGGAGGGTGACCATCAGTGGATCAGTGGGTGGAGGTCCAGATTGGAGTGGCATGACTGCAGATGGGGAATGCGAGGAATTCCTCTTGTAAACACCTCACGCTCGGACGGTCCCCACACACTTATCTCCCCGTGCCCATCGCCCCCCTTTAATCATCGTAATGGTTAGTTATTCATTACCATTCTGTTTGAATTTCCTGTGACCTCTGCTTGCTGTGGGCAGGTGGGTCTTCTGCTGCTGCCAAGAACTGAAACCCTTTGTTTACCTGAGGCACCACATGGTATATTATTCATTTTGAACCCCCCCAGCGGGCAAATAGAGCCTGTTCTGATACTACTGTATACAGTATGCTGGATTTCAAATGTCAACACCCTGAAAGAGAGCCGCTTTTTCTTTCCTTTCTTCTTTTTTTATTTCGAAGTCAGGCTGTTTTTCTCGAGCCCCGTCTCCTTCTGGTCCTATGGGAGCACTCTTTAACCGATAGGATCATAACCGGCTCTGGGGTAAACTTTATTTTTCTTCTAGGTTGAATAGAGCCGCTTTTGGTTTCTTTCAGCGTGCCACCTTCCCCTGCAGTTCCTGTTTATGAATCCCCCTCTTGGTTTAATGAAAGTAATTTCCAAAGCAGCTAAGGGGCCTTCGTTAATACTGGATGGCATTTAGAGAACACAGGAAAAGAAACACAGGCGCAAGCTGGCTGGCTTTCCTTCCTTTGCTAAGGTAAAATCCTGTTTTGGCCACTTGCTGTTTTGTCAGACTGGAGGAAGGTGCAAAGTCCATTTAGAACACATAATGTGCAGCATGAGGGGGCCCATGAGGGCTGCATTCCAACTCATAGTGTACCATTCTCTACCAGTCATGAGAGACGCCTGCTTACAAGTACAGGACCAGCTCACACCGTCATAGCCACATTCCCTTAAAACGTTCCCATCAGTTTGACTGCAGTTTGCAAGAGTCAGAAACCAGATGTCCCTTTCCCAGGAAACTCCCTGATAAATTTGTGTGCAGCTCTGGATGTGATTGCTGATATTTTCTGGTTGTTTTTTGGTGTTAATGTTGGCTTTTCCTGACATTTCTGATAAGAAAGTAGCTGTGGATTCTGTTCAGCTCCTGGCCACTGCAAGTTCCTTCTAAAGTTGACAGCAGATAGGAGTAGAAAGGCGTTGAAATGACCGACACTTTGACCTTCACAATAATACAGGGATCAGAAAGAAGTGGCGGGATTTGTGGGCGGTAACCTGTCATGTAACCTATTGTTTGCAGTTTATGTATTTGAACAAGTTTCTGGAGGCTTTCTACCTTTGAGCAGTCGCATGTGACAGAAACATGAATGACAGAGTAAAAACAGAGAACAGATGGAAAAATGGCTAAATTTACTTCTCAATATTTGGTGTTTTAGAAAAGATTGTACATAAAAGATGTACTGTGACATTACCCATTGTAGGCTCTGATTTTAGAGCCCCAATCAGGCCATAACTATTTTGTCTTCTGAGTAAAGATACGGACTGAGAAACAGGGCTGTGCTATATCATATCACTCATAATAACCATTGATAAAGGTTTCATATGACAACATCAACGATGTAGCGATGCCATACGTTTACTTTTTCTTTGTTTTCTGTTTTATTATGTGATAATATTGTGCATCTCCTCATTATGTACAAGGTTAAGCTACTTTAGTTACTGTTAAACTAAAGTGTTAAAGTTTTCCATAAAATTTCCAAGTAAAATACTACGTAGGCTACTTTTGTGCTTAGATTTCACTTATGCTGTGTCACTACTACTGCACTACAATGCTGCTGCTGGTACCTTGATAGACTCACACTTACTAAGTAGTCTATCATCAATCACAGTAGCTCACTGTAAAAGAAAAATGTACTTTAATTTGTTTAAAACACCCTTCAGTCCTTTTTCCCACATAACCATAAAAATCATTATTTCCTTTAAATACCTGGATATAATTTTAAGTCTATATCACCTCCTAGCCAAGAACAGAGCAAACTCAGTGCAGTATTAGCATAAGAATTACTCAAACCCTAAAACCGTACGTTGAATAATCATCTATTTTACTTTAAAAAGAAAGTATATCCTGTTGTGTTAAATAAGATGCCAAACTTGTGATAGCATAAACTCACTGGAAAGGTGTTTCCTGAGGTCTTGATCAAGTGAACACCAGAGGAATTTTCCTGTAAACTTCTAAACAATGACTGCTTTTTGTAACCAGAGTAGTCGCCACTCTATTGGCCAACAGAAATACTGCAGATTTAAGACACTTACTCAATTCAGTTCACAACAGTGATCACTTCTAATATTATAAGACCTGACAATACGAGGCGAAAAGAAAAAAAGAAGAAAGCTCAAATATCTAAACAACTGTTCCCCAAATTGCTCAAAACAACAAACAGTTGATCTACCACAATGCTGTACTAATAATTCAGGTTATATGAAAGTTAACAGATCAATTAATTACCCAGTTTGAGCACTAGATTTGGGATACTGTGACTAAAACTTGAAGTTGTTTTAACATCAACCTCTAACTACAATCAATCGGTTAATTAAGTCCAAAAACGCTGAGAAATAAAAGGTCTCTGAACTCTTGATGCTAAATGAAGCCAAGCTTTAAACTGAGTGACCGCGTGACACGAGTAACTGTCCTTACTTCTAGTTACATTAGACAAATGACAAAAACAGCAGTATTGTGTAAAACTGGTGCCCAAGCATCGTGGACAAAGAATAAATGTCCTCATTAGTGTTAAGTGCTTTGCTCATATGTTTCCTAATACCCATTCATGGTATCACAGCATGTCAGCTCGCTCCGAGGAAGCTGTCAGCCGCAGATGTCAATACCCCTGCTGACCCTGCTCCCTCCCCCCCAAACCATTGCACACATGGCACTGGAGGATTGTCCCCCCAGAACAAAGGAGTGGGGGGTTTCTGTGGAGGACGAGCAACCAAACATTCCCGTTACAATGGGGAGAGTGGCCGGCAGGTTCAATTAGCACACACTTTAAACTGTTCTCTATACGAACCCTCTGTTCTTGAACAAAGCTGAACCTTCACACTCCAATGGGGTATTTGGTGATGCAGTTTGTTCTTGGCACTATGGCATTTTAAGAGAGTTTCTTCTATTATCTCCTTTGTTTCTGTCCATGTTGCCTGACAAATAAAGCACTCGGGACAAAGATGATCAGACTGGAAGACTCATGGCTTTTATTGTCTTCACAAACTTTATCCAAGAAAAAAAAACTGGACAAATCAGTCTGTACTCTCTTCAAGAACTAAGTGTCACCAAAAGTCCATTGAAACCCTCGAAAGATGTTTTATTAGGTGGTAATGTTCATTCGTTTAAGATGATTTTCAAGCCTCTTAAGCCCCCTAAGATCACACTGAATAAAATAAATAAATAAAAACTATTCCTCAATTACATGATGATTCTTCCAGAAAGCAACGCGAGCTCAACTTCTGACGATGGCATTTCCCAGTCTTGATATCAATATTCACATCGTGCAATGCATTATTGATGCTCTGAGCTGATAGGGCATGGATGAGGATATCTTGCAGTGACATGTTCTGCAGCACTGACAGTGATTTGAAGCCCAGACCTTCGTGTCTGTCACCGCTGCTCATAACTGCCCGGAAACCCTGAGCAGATTTCAACAAATCGGACGTTTAACATAATCAATAAGGGAGGTAAGAGCGATCAATAAAACTCGCCGGATGCGCAGAGCAGCTGGAGGGTGATGTGTGTAATCTGAAGTACAGGGATGAAGATGTAGCCGACTTACCTACTGCACAAGGTGCGCCGTAACGTCGGGCAGCCTGCTCGGCGTATCCGAGTGAAATGCAACCCAAAAGCCGCCGTGTCACACTTCACACCATCCGGGCGCACATGTTGCCAGTCCCCGCACAGAAATGTCCGAATCATGAGCTGCAGCGAGAAGCCAGTGGAGCCCAGGCAGCGGACTGCAGGAGCCGACCGTGTCGCTGTGGGTCCCCCGGCCCCTGGGAAGCGGCACTGTGCGTCCAGGCGCTGGACTACAACATGCGCAGGGCGCCACCCTTCGCTGGACCCCTGGACCCCTCTGCGTCCACCTTTCCTCTCTCAGCCCCAACGCCGTAAATAGCGGGACGTGAAGCAACCCCCTCCCAGCCTCAAGGCAGCGTAATCCGCGGCCACGGGTAATGGAACTGTGATCCGTGATCTCCCCTTAATGCTTGATGCGCAATTAAGAGGCGCGCAGGACGCCGGTGCCACCCACCACAGGAGGTTCTCGTGGTGAGCGTACGGACGGGGAATTTTAATGAGGACTGCTGCAGAGTTTTCCTCCCTGATCGCAGGGTCGCGCTGAAATCCCCCGTCCCAACACGAAACCCACAAAGTTAGCATATAGAAAGAGGACCGCGTGACGCAGTGAAACGTCAGTGAAGCTGAACTCTTGGCCAATTGCCAGTCAGCAAAGTGGGACGTTAGTCCACCTCTGTGGGACACCTGTTGATGGAAAACTGTTTCAGACATCCACACTTCCTGGAGCGGGACCTGTGAATATTAATATCGTTGTCGTGTCCAGCTGCAGAGCTCCGGGATTTTTATGAGCTGCAGTGGTTTAAGAAACGATGCGTTAACTCCTGAACAAAGTGTAAAAGAGAGAAAGAAACACTTAAAATCCTGCCTTCATTACTGGTTTAATAGACTTATTAGCAAACATTGCTTTTTAATGATTCTGTTGTTTACAGACAGATAAAATAAGTACATTACAGGCGTGATTTAGCTCTGTGAGAACATTTAGTTAATTAAACCATAACTAACTATTAATTTGATCTAAATTGATACAACACATAAAAACTAATAAATAAGCACTGAAATGTTTCCCATCACTGCTGAAAGTGTGATTCAGTGCAGGACTTATAGTGGCTCTCCACCTATTGAGGGCTATGCAAGTTTGTTCCCACGCTGATTGTTTTTTTTTTTTTTAATTTATTTATTTATTAATTGATCGATTACCAAGTAGAAGTAGGTTAAAATTTCGTGTTAATCTCTCAAAAATCTTGAAATTTTGAAATAAAAACCCAAAATTTCCACTTCCACTGGCATTTATCTCCAGCTTGCATGTTCACAAAACTAAGACTCAAAATATGAAAATACAACATTAAATAAAAAGATGTAAGCATTACATAATTTATATATCGCTTCTATATTTAATTTTAATTTTTTAGAGGGGGGAGTTGCTTTATCTGCTTTTTTTTTTGCTCTTTTGCCAGATTATGTTTATCATTATCATGTTTTTTTTAAACTTTTGTATTATGTTATTAGTTGTTAAACATCAGTGCAAAGCTACATTATACATGCCTTCCTCATACATTATAATTTAGCTTTGTCATTCTTTTATTAGTTGGGGTTTTTATTTTGGCAGTCTTCATCTTCCATATCCCTGATATTTAAGTCGCATATTGGCTATGCTGGCATAAAATTAACAGCAATATAAATTATACGATAATTTAACCCTTGCCTTTCCTGTAGGAAAAACTGTTCAAGGGTGGACTTGTTCACAGCTCACAGGTATGTGCGGTGTGCAAGAACAGGTCCTTTGCCCTATAATATGCAGCTTAATTAAATACGGTTTGGTTGTTACCATTAAAATTAGTTGGTTGTAAAATTTGAAACTTGCCAAACTTTGTGAGTGACCTTAAGCTGCCCTCTGGGATCTGAGTCATGTTTCCCTCCCTGTCAGGATTCCTCCTCTAATCCCACACTTCTAAATACTGAACCTGTGGGGAGGCGGTCAGCTGGTCCATCTATTACGAGGTTAAACCACTTAACCATCTTATGAGAGAGAACCGAGGCCTCAAACCTCAGCTGGCACACTGGTATGAAGCAACACATCAGTGTACCAGAGGCCTACATGAACAGCGTAAACAAAATCTAGTGTTTACTAGACTGGAGGGGGGATCGACAGATGATGCAAATGGGCTATAACCAGTGAAGGGCAAGAAACATGTCAATTTGACCAAATTTGTCAGAGACTAAGTTAATAAGCTGCCTTAGGCAGGATGATTTCTCAATAAATACACAGGCAGGTTTTATTTTGCAAAAGAAAGAAAGTTAACAACACACACTTATAACAGGACATTTGGAAAAAAAAAATCATAGAAGGCTTGGTTAACCCCCCCAAAAAAATCCTAAACAATAAGTAAAGTTATTAAATATATAAATGTTAAAACAGCACTTGGGAGACTTGAGTTTACATTCTGCTGCTGAGAAATCAGACCTGAGGCATGCACTGACACACTACTGCCCTCTACAGGCCAGAGAGTAGCATCGCATGCAATTACAAAACGTGACTCAACATTTTCTGCAGACGTTCATTAACTCATCCATCACAAGCAGAGTCTCTCGGTGCAAGCAGCAGCTCCAGGGCGCTCTATGAAAAATGCAGTATTACAATACAGGTGCTACATTTATTTTATTTTCATACAGGTCATAAAAAAATAGGGATTTTTTTTTTTTACAATCATGTTCACATTGTTGAAAATATTTAAGATATTTAACTTCAGTTCACACGGCTCTTTTTCAGCCTGGAGGTCTCTGCTGCTGCTTTACGTTTACGTGACGGTGTGCCTGGAGCTTCTTCAGAGGGAGCTTCAGTCAGGTGGTACAGCTCGATGGGTGGTGTTGGCTCCTTAAGCAAAGATGGGAAAAAAGGCCATTGCTAAAAATCCATCTTTAACATTCAATTTTGTGTGGGCTGCAACATGGAAGACATCAAACGTCTTTCAAGTGAGAAATTCAGCATCAGACTCAGCTGAGAATATATAAATGAAGAGCCCTGCTAACCTGCATGAGATAGTCTGCAATGTATTCTGGCTTCAGGCATGTGACTCCTTGTGAGGTAGCCTCTAAAACATCAACTCTGAAGTCTCCGGGTTTGAGTCGACTGAAGTCTGCAAAAAGATGTGTGGCCTCTTTGTACATGGATGGGGAGGGACCAGGAAGGACCTGCAGAGAAATGACAGACTGTGTGTTTGCTGTGTTTGTGGAAAGAAGTCAAATGAAGCAGACAAACGTAAACCCGCAAACAACACAATTCTTTCCTTCAGCATACTGCTGTGATGGTTATTTACCTCCATCTAAAACAACAGCCCCATCTTCTTAGCTCTTTTTTTTTTCTCCTCGCTTTCTTTTGACTCACTAGCTCAGTTTTATCAAGGATTCCAAATTTTACATCACAGACATTTCTAAAGATTATATCAAAAAATAAATATCAACCTACTGAAGCTGTTGCTGTTTTAAGACACTTTTAGGATGCTAATCTATCTTGGCTAAAGACTGCATGCTCCTGGATGTGTCTCAGAAAAGAAAAGCACTGAGAAACCTTCGCCCCGCCAGACTGCAGCAACCGCCTGAATCCCGATTCTCTGCTCTGGTCGATGTTCAGCATGACTGTCCATCCACTGAAGGCGCCCTGAAAAATACAAATGCCTGTTTATAGAACACAAAATGCCTCAGAGCCGTGGTTTTTATTGTGTGTATGAGCCTGCTCGTACCTCGTGTTCAGAGTGACCCTGCAGGCTTTTTCTCCAGCGCATGCCGGCTAACGCTAGTCTCTTTTGTTGGGAGGTGATGGAGGGCAATGCGTCAAGGATGGAGCTATTGCCCCACTCAAACTCCTCCTCCTAGATCACAGATTTGGAGATTTTTGGGGACAAGTCAAGAAAACCTTTTTTGTGGTTTTTATTAGAAGTGACCCGTTCCTTGTCTAGTCTAAAATAACAGCCTAAGATGACGGCTGTGTGGTGATACTTGCATGAAGGACTCTCCTTGAAAGTATTGGTGTTATCCGAGCGCTTATATTCCACATTCCCAGACTTTCTATCATATTTACGTGTGACAAAGATTGCTCTTCGGATTCTGACCTGAATGAAGAGACCCACAGAGCGGCACGCCTCCAGGTACGAGCGGTGCAGGATCCATTTCCCAGCTGCCATCGCTGCCAGGTACTTCTCATTACGCAGGGGTGTCCCGACGATGATGTGTGTGCAGCTGGGGTCAAAAGACTGCTTATCCAAGACTACACCACCTACAGCAACAGACAGAGACAGAAAACTACACACATGGTACACTTGGCCTGTGCAGGGATTATGGCTGCAACACTGATAACTGAATGGCATGAAAATGCAATATAAATATGAAGTTTATCCTATTCCACTGACTCTATCAGACCCTCTGATAACATGTTTCCAGCACCATGGATATAGTCACCATCTGTGCACCTATTTTAAACTGGTAAACTGGTTTGGATCTCGAAAGGTTGGATCACAGCACATTTTCCATGACCTCACATGTGATCGCTGACCCCAGTGAGTATTTTCATATTCTACAGGTTGGAAAGAGAAGATGTGCAACTCAAAAACGGTGGAAACAGACTGGTCTTTCAGCATTTATGGCTGATGAAGTAAATGCAACATTATCAGTGTAGCAGACATTGGTTGAATGCAACTTTTTGTTTGGTTGAAACAGGTTTAGTTTTGGATTACGGTTTGCCAATAATTAGTGAAGATTAAACTCATGTGTAAGAGGACTGAGAATGCTTTACTGTTAGTAAATGACCTCACAGAGACAGCCAAACAAACACGTCTTGTAGGGGAAATGCTGGTAATGAAGTGAACTTTTAGCCAATATATGACAACCGTTTATTCTAACAACCTCAAACTCAACGCTGCACTTATTTCAGTTCCCAGCAATACACCCACCAAGTTTAAAGCCTAGCAGATGAACGGCTGTCAAGCTATTAAGCTAGTAAGATGCGCTGAGGCAGAAATACAGTGTGAAAGTTTTAATAATGATATAACTTGTCATGACCAGTGAAGATCTGAGTCATGCTTTTTTTGACAGAGGAAACAGTGCTGGAGGAACTACTTCCATATCCTGGAGGCAGATCCTCAGTTATAGTCATCAGGGATTAGCTCCTCTGACTTCCAGTCTCTGATGTGCTGCCTTTTGTACTGCAGCACGATGAAACAGCGTTAGATCGCTAATTAGATGGGAGACTCACCAAGCTCCTCTATGAGGTGACTGTAATCAATGCGCTCCTGGGGGCTGAGGGAGGACAGCTGAAATCTGGGAGGTTGTTTTTCTTCCTTCTTCTCCTGAGAAAAATAAACAACCTTTTAGCACTAGTACTTTGCTTGAAAGAGACGTACAGATTGTACACTGCGCAGTACAAATGATCAGTTCATTATTATGTAACTGAATAAGCACCAGCATGCAGCTGTTTGCGTAACGCAGGAAAGTGGAGAGAAGTGTTACACAATGCTGAGCAATTAAATTTCATTTAGACCAGATTAAAGCTTCACGTGTTGTTGTCAGTGCAAATTTCGAACCCTTCACCTGTGGTTCTGGTGCTACTGCGGGGTTGGCGAGAGGAAAAGCAATGCTGGGAGCTTTAGGAGTGAGGACGTCATTCTCTGGCTCCTCGGGAGGAGGCGTCAGGACTTTCTTGTTCATGTGCTGCTCAATGACGTCACAAGCAGCTGCGGGAGCGACAACGGTGAAATGTTACCAACATATCAGAAACAGTGTTTCCCTATTATATGCATACACAGACTTTAAATAGACCTGAGACTAACTTGAGAGCTCTATACTAAGATGCACCACTTCTTCACCGTATCGCTACATCCTCCCAAAGCTTAGACCTTTCATTTTCATTTGCATGATTCACAGTTCAAAATCTTCTTTATCTGTCCAGGTAGGTGTAAACCCCTCTATGCATTAATTTAGCCCATTGTACGCTTTCAGACAGTTGGTGCAGCTGGATCCTCATTTCTTACCCATCTCTACCAGCTCTGAGTCCGTCATGGAGTCCCTTAGCTGTGGTCCGCTGTCTGCAGTTGGAGGAGGAGCGAGGGGCTCAGAGTGCTGCGATGGGCTTCCAGGCCACTGTAAATTATCAGCGAGCTTGGCCCTCTCTTCTCTGGCTGTGGGGTCATCCCAAACTATCTGTTCACTCTGGGATGGCTCTGTGTTCATGTCCATAGCCGCTTCTCGAGGAACCCTGAAATCACAACAGAGCAGTCAGCTATGTGAAGCCAAAAGAATACCATCTATGGTATTTATATGGTTTAGATCCTGAATTTAACACAAAAGGACTTTTCAAAGCTCAACGCGCCCCTACTGCTAACATAGTTCTGTAGGTAAAATGATGATATTTACTATTTCTTCTGCTGTCACCACAGCTCTGTACCCAAACATGCATACAGCACCTTCCACTTTTTTTTTTTTAAACAAATAAAAAAGCACTTTAAATTTTTTATAGTGGACTCTGCAAAACGCCCTGAGCTGCTGCCAGATTCCTTAAGAGATTCAAGCTTCTTTTAGTTTTAACATAAGCAGCTTCTTTCATACCTCAGAGCTTCTAGAGTCCGTCTATTACCGCTCCGTCCAACTCTGCTCCCTTCGGGTGTGTGGGGGCCCAAGTCTGCCCCTCCGGATCCCATCCTAGCGAGCCTGACTGAGGTACGCCTCCCTGTCGTCAGTTTAGTGGCTGACATGATCTCCTGCAGTTGTCTTTGCAGGTTCTCTCTCATCTCTAGCGTTTCTAAAATATCAGGATAGCAAAAAATATGTAAAACCTCATATACAACCATGTATACTGAAGACCTTTTACTTCTGTGACAGGCTTGGTTTGTCAGGATTACTCCAGAAGTTATGGACAGATTTGCAGATTGGTGGTGAGCCTTGAGAGTCTTAGACTCGTTTCAAGTACATGCAGAAGCTCAGTGGATTTAATTACCAGCAACAGAAAAGACACTCACCCCTCCTTTCTGTGCTATCATTCATCTCTTCTTGGTCTGTGCTTCCATCACTCACACGGCGTTGGGTTGCAGCTTCTTGTGTGGGATTGTGCACAAACTGCGACAAAGAAAACTAAAGATCAATTAAACAGGAAAAGAAAGATAATTGTGACATCCCAGCATTAATTGAACAATACATCCTGATTTTCCTGAGAAATTCCATCCTAAACCAACACAGGTCCCCCACTAACTCTGACTTTCAAATCAGACCCACCTCGTCTTCCTTCGTCTCCCTGATGTCTTTGCGTTGTGTTCGTGTTACAGGTGGTGACCTCTGAGAGTTGCTGGGCACCTGGCTCAGGTTTAAACTCATCTTAGGGTTGTAGGTGAAAGGATAGAGAGACTCCGGGACGTGCCTTTGCTCATCAGCGCACTGCACAGGATGAAAACAGACACGTTACTGCACACAGTATTTATCTACACACCAAAACGTAACTAAATAAAACAATTATGAGGAGACACACCACTGAAACGACGATGCCTCTGAATTTACACATCAAAGACGTTTTTCATTTAGTATTCTGCTTTTGTTGATGAGATGCTAATTGCTTCCCCAGGGTGAAATGTTGCAGGAGAATACAAATAATACCCAAATGAAATCAATTGCATCTTAATGCAGCTTTGTGAATCTTTATGAAGACGTAATTTCTCTAAATGCTTGTTTAAGCAAAGGAAACAGAAGCATGTGGCTTGAACCTTTTATAGGCATGGTTTATGTGCTCAGGTTGAAAGAAACTAAAGACTGAATTGTTTCCTAACATGTGTGTGTTAATTTTCTGCAGATCAGCTGATGCCTGCCTCTTACCCACTAAATACTGGGATGGGCTTCAACAGTGTACTGTGTTTTACACTACCTTATATCACTTCAAATAACACGAACACAGCATCACTTTCACACAGCAGACTTAATCAGCTGTCACAAATGATTAGAAATCAGTGAGAAAACGCTACACTACTGGGAAACCCACCGCCTGCAACCAGTACTGGGAGACCACATGGAGCCCTCTCTCCTTCACTCCTCTGTATTCCCGGGTGTTGTCCCCCACACGGCCCTGGTAAATGTAGTGTGTTACTGTATCGTCACAAGCCCACCTGAAAAGAAGTTAGCAAAGATATGTTTGTACCGTTTGCATCATATTTGCAAAAAATAAAATCAACTGATAAAGTGTTACTTTCCAGGACTTTCTTACAACATTGATGGGTTACTTTTTGATAATTCGTGATCAGTAAGCAAAACATTTCACCCATTCTTTGTACAGGTGTCATGATGATTTAGAAGCAGTATACTTGGACTTTGGCCTTAATCCTTATGTAAGCCCAGTTTATGGAACTGATTTATTGCTCAGACTTGAAGGAAATCAAAGTGAAAAACTGTCATTTCTAAAAGTCATATGATGAAAAAATAAGAACAAACAGGTAAAACCAAACATTAATTCTCATTCTGTGGTTTTAAAATGCTGACACTGGGAAAGCATGCTTAGCTCGAAATAGAGGGAGAGTGGCGACAGATAGAACCAGGATTTGAAAGGTTTAAAAAAATGAAATACAATAAAAATCTCTTAAGTAAAGTTTACAAACCTGAAGTCGGCTCCAAGCGAGGCAGCGATGGCGTTTAGTTCACTCTGCATTTTGCTCAGTTTCTTTCCCACGCAGACCACAACACCATTCAGGGGCCCGGCTTCTTTTCGTGGACTCTAACACGCAAACACCATATTGTTTTTGTCTGTCTTTCTTTTGAGTTGTTATGTTTGTGACTGGGAAATAAAAACCTGTGTGTACTTCAATCTAACACTGATAATCGCTAAGATGTGCTGTGGCTCTGTAACCACCAGGCTCTAACACATTTGTATAGCAGTACTAGTGTTTACCTCCTTCTCAGCTGTCTTTGCAAGCTGGGGACTGGCAGAGACTGCTTGCATCTCTGAGACATTATTGCGGGTGCTATTAGCCAGCGCTACTTTCAGGTTCCTGTTGATGACATCAGTGAGTGGAGTCTCAATCCTCTTCCCTGGTTTCGATGCCCCACCCGGAGTTTCCATAGTTCCAAGTGCATCCTAAATAATATAAATACACATATTTAGAGAAACATTAATCAAATATCAGCACACATGAAATGCCAGAAGTGTAAGCTGCTCAGTGAATCCCAACCTTGACATTAAAAGAGGGTCTGAAGAGCTGGTCTCGGTTGAGGAAACGAGAAGGGGTGTCCAGCTGCAGGGAGGCCTCGTTCTGTAGTGGGTTCCTTCTGCCACCCTCCTGGTTTTGTTTTGGGGTGCTGATGTCCTCTTTGGGCTTCATCTCATCCAAAACAGATCGGAACACTTTGCTCTGAAAGCGGCCTAAATCCAGAGGAGTGACAGCCTTACCGCTCCGGGGACCCAACAAAGGGATTTCTGGAGAGGAACGAGCCGCTGGAGGCATAATCTGTTTCTGCGAACCACCTACAAAACTCTCTTCATCCCTCTCTGTGGAAGAACAAAATAAAAACAGCCAGTCTCATTAATAAGCAATGACACACTAGACAAACTTGAGTCTACAATTACATTTAATAACATAATGAATTTAATAAATTAAGCGAACTGGAACTAAAACTAAACTAAAATTAAAAACCAATAAAAACTAAACTATCGTTCTTATAAAGACCCATCCCGAGCCAGGAAAATCTCTGGTGGTAGTCATTAGCAATCAGGTCAAACTGGTGCTACAAATGAATGCCTCTTAAAACTCCAGCCAAACTCCATCATACGGTTTAATTTAATGTAATTTATATCGTGTGTTGAGAATTACAGATCATAAAACAGATCTAGCAAAGTTAGTTATCTAACCTGGTGAGGGTGGCAGATCAACTAAAAATCTTCCCTCCTCTGCTCTCTTCCCAGTTCGAGCAGACTCTAGTATCCAGTGCATGGTAACAGCAGGAAGCCCCCACTTCTTTGCTGCCTGGTACTTTGTGCCCTCGGGGCTCTGCAGCACCAGATGCGTGCTGGCCAGCATGCCTTTCTTCTGGTTGGCCAGGCGCACAAAATAATCCTGGACGCTGCAGCAAGGAGACACAAAACAAATTTAAAGATTTAACACACATATCTCCTAATGAGCAGCAAGACTGGGCTATAAAGTATGCAGCAGAGCAAGTGAATTTAAGTTACAGCAATGCACACAGGCCAGGGCAGCTTCTTCTTTTATTAAACAGCTGTATCATCCTACTGCTCAGGAGCACATACAGATAGAAAAATGTACAGAAAACAGAAATTCATCCTCATTACTGCTCTGAACACAAAGCAACTGGCTTCACATTGAGTGTTCATGCATAATAATGAATGCAAATACCAGCTAATTTAAAAGTTTAATCAAACGTTCCTGCAGTAGTTAATGTTTATGGATATTATGCCTAAACATAACGACTGGTGCATGTAAGGTAGTCATACTCGGCTCCAAGGTGCTTGGCAAGCTCCACCAAAGACTCCCTCTCTGCTCCGGTGAACTGGCTGACAGAGAGGACGCAATCTTTGAGAGGAAACTGTCCGTCCATCACTGGGACAGGAGTGAACAAAGGGTGGGAGGACAGCTGCAGGACACACTCCTTCTCCACACACATGACCTGAGGTTTAATGAGAGAAATAGGTCAATCAAAAGCATAAGGCACTCTCATAACATGGAGCACTATTAACAAACTTACCAGCCAGGTATCAGTGACCACCTCTTCCACTGTGGCCTCCACTGAGCACCCCAAGAGAGGGACCACAGCATAGTCTGCGACAACCCGGGAGCGGCCCATCAGCACTTTGCCTCCATGTTCTGTCACCAGCAGAGAGAGCTGTGTCTCTGCCTCCGTACCAAACCCCACAAGAAGGAAACGTTTCCCGAAAAACAGTCCTGCCTCGCTGGCTTCCTGCAGGGTGGATTCTGTCCCATTAGTGCGGTTTGGTACCCAGGATTCAGGTTGGAGCTCTGCAGTTGTACTAATGGACTTCCTGCTTTTACTCTCTGCTGGTGGTGGAGGCGGCATATCAACTGGAACACAAACGGATATGAGCAGCTGTACCAATATGTAAAACTAACCTAAGTCTGAATCTTATTCATTCAGCTGTCTTATACAGACTCTTGATCCCATACGAACACCGTCAGCAACAGATACTTACTCACTGTAGGGTCATCATCCATGTACTGTGACAGTAGATCCTCGTCTGCTTTCTTTCTCCCCGGAGTGCTCGGGCTGCCAGCAGGTGGACCAGTTGAGATCCGGGATTTGGGAGTGTGGTAACCCGGCACCACTACATCAGCTGGAGCAGGAGGCAGACAGTCAGGGTGGAGGTAGCTGGCTTCTGGGAGCAGAGTGCCCTTTGAGAAGCTGTCTATTAGCCACTTTACTGTTACTACATGGGGCCTGTGAATTACAGAGAGAACATAAATTATATATTAACCACATTATGTCTTAATTAGAGATGGCACAATACCACTTTTTTATGTCCGATACGATATCATAAATTTGGATATCTGCCGATACCAATATGAATCCGATATAATGTTTTTTAATCAACAAAACAGTTTTTTAAATATCTTGCTGCATTTTGTATAAGTTCATACTCAAGTTTAAAACAACAACTACACTAAAGCTATTCTGTTATACCTGTATGCAAAAAAAATATTTCATAGTTCAGCAATACTGATCAATCTAATAAACTTAAACCTACACCATCCTCCCTATTCTGGTATTTTAAAGAGTACTTAGCATAAATATTAAGCAACCTAACTAATAGGGTTCCAACTCCCAGGAACAACAAAAATAAATAAATAAAAAATAGGGAACCACCCCTCACGCTCCACCTCATGATGCTTAATCAACGTAATCAACCTTAATTTGATGCAGTGTGAAAAAAAAAATGCACAGAAATCAATTATTTTTCAAGAAATATTAAATAGATTCAACATCTTTCTTCAACAAAATTGCAGACTGCACAGATGGTACCTTCCCAAAGGAAAAAGTACTATAGCTTACTAGGGTATATATATTAGACTTAACAGTTACTATATACAATAATGGACTTCTATTCATTTTACATCAAATTAAAACTTTGGGTGTAAGATTCAGATAAATATTAAATAATTAAAAGCTCGACATTTTAAATGAGAATAAGAAAGAAAAGTATGTCTTTGTGCCCCCTTTTCCCTGTTAATGCCCTATCGGCCCCCCTGGCTAAACTTTGCTAGATCCGCCCCTGCACAGTTACCAGCCGTCAGCTACGTAGAAAAAGATCCTGGAGTAGAAAGTAATATTAAATAAATTCTAACAACAGCTGATCAAGCTTAAACGTGCTGCTGTTGTTCAGCCGCTGGTTTCCTCTTTCTGGTGCAAAGTGGGCCAAAAGCAAACAAGAGAGACGGACTTGCGACAGAAAAGCCGATCAGCTGATCATTAAGCAGTTTCATGATTGAAGTAGCAGCCGGAGAGCGAGAGGCAGTCGCTAGTTAAGCTTAACGCAGGAATGCTTTACAAACATTCAGAGATGGACTTACACACTTGCTTTACTTCTCTCGGGGTAACTTTGTCAGAGATGAAATGCCGGGTTGCTAGCGAAGCTCCACATGCTATCCAGACCACCGACAGGTCCCGCATGCCACAGCTGCTCTATCACGTGATGCATACTGCTCCGACGTGCTAACGTTCTGAGGTGAGTTACGGCGTGTTGCAAGTTTTGTGAGGTGCTTTCGTGATATTTAATGGATCGGATTACATTTTTTATTTTTCTCCGATATCCGATCCAGTAATTTAGGTCAGTATCGGACCGATACCGATACGTAATATCGGATCGGTCCATCTCTAGTCTTAATCCTTGCCTTTCTTTTTTCATATTTGTGTTTTTAATTTTTTTGAGAATGCTGACATCCAAAAAGCTGGGATGTAGTTGAAGATTTAAGACCCTGTTCTAATGGTCATCAAACCACATTTTTATTGACCTATGCTGACAAAACTTGTCATTAAGGGTACAGGGAAGCTCATTAAATGTCATCTTTATGGGAGAAAGATTTAAAGGCTACATTGAAAAAGTGTGTGTGGAAATGTTAGACAGATAAAATATAAACTTTTTTTTTTAAGTTTCAATTTTACCTGGATGATTGAGCATGCATCAAGACTTTTTTTTCCAACATTCTGTGTTTAAGAGCTGAGACGACCGACTATTTTAAAGACAAATGTTTCAGATTCTTGTTTAATATAAGATTTTAGCTCTTCAATGGTTACTTTGACTTACTTTTTGTATTATAATGAGTCAGTGGGTGATGGACCCATTTGCATCTGGACTTTTTTACTATAAAGCTGCTGTTTCAATACATGCAGAAAGGATATTAAAGTGGGCAAAAAGCGGCCACGATAGAGCTTTCACTCCTGGATCAAAGCACGCAATTCTCCCTGTTGCTGAATTCTGTTGAGAATTGGATAAACCTAGAATCTCCATTTCTCAGTGTGTAATAGCCTTTAGTCTAAATTATTTTGCAGTCCAACCAAACATATTTTGGTATGAAAGGAAACATTAGAATCTCCAAGTTATTGTATTAATACAGAGGATATAAATATCATGAAGGTTATTAAAGCTCTTTAGTTCAGACCTGTGAGTTGCTTTGGAAAGAAAATTATTGAGGTCCTGGTCCAGCTCGCCCATGACCACATGAGAGAGCTCCTCACTGGGTTGGTTGAAGCGCAGACCTCCTGCAGCATTTACAAGACGCCGTAACTTCTCCAGTTTATTCCCTGGCAGGCCACACAGATACAGCTGTGTGACATTTAACACAAAATGACAGAAAGCCTCAAGTTTATCATTTATAGACTCAACTAACTCCTACTACAGAATTGAAAGAGGAAATACATAAAATCTCTATAAAAAGAAAACTGCAGACCATCTACTTACCTTACAGCCATCCAATAAATCATCAGCAGGGCACACAGTAAGATCCAGACTCTCTATGGGGTCTGGAGCTTCCAGGTGGCTGACAGTGCTGTTATTGGTGAGAGCCGTGTCGTTTATTGTTCTGCTAGTGTTCACAGAAATGTTGCTCAAGCCCAACAGTGACGGACCCTCTGGAAATGAAAAACATAACTCTTCAATCATTAAAGACAAACAGGTTCTGAATTACTGTGGAAAACCTTTATCATCTTATCAAATGCGACTCACCATCCTTCTTGCTGGTAGCAGTAGGTGTGGAAGTGTGTGGTCGAGTGGTTTTTGAAGCATTGCGCTCCACAGTGTACCTGCTCTCATCTTGACAGTAGCCCTTCACTATGCTGTCAAAGAGCCAGTGCAAAGACACGCAATACACATTCCACTTCCGAGCACACTCGTACTTCTGACCTAGAACCAAGTACGATCGATGACAATCAATGACGCACAAATGATGGCATTACATCATTTTTTTTTAAAATACTGGTGACTTACCTGTTGGTTCATTAACAATGAGGTGTGTACACTCATTCATTTTGAGCTGACCGGTGTAGTTGGCCCCATGCTGCTCACAAAGTCTTTGTACTTCTTTGCGTTCTGTGCTGGACAGACCTGTCACACAAACACTACAGCCACGCAGCACAGGGCAAAGGTAGTCCTCTAAGGGCAGGTCTGTATATCTGAAAAGACTGGAAAAGCAGTACAGAGACACCATTCATGTTTTTGTAAATGTACAGTGATTTAAAATGTGAATTTGTATCAAACAGGAAACACAAGTCTTCATTTAATAGATGTAGCCATGTAAATCACAGTACATACCTATCCTGTGATTTCTCCCAGCAGGCTTTAACCCACGTAGGCAACAGGATGGGTTTACTGAGGCTGGCTGCTACCAGGTACTTTTTACTGCCCACCTCTTCTGCAATCAGGTGTGTAACAGATACGTTTAGATCCGAATAGGCCCATCCACCCATGAGCTGCACCAGATCCATCAGCTCTTCCTGGAGTGTGAGAGAAGGTATGGACATAAACATGTCTCAGTGCTTCATATTTTATTAAAATGTATATAGCAGATCTCTTACCCGTATTGCTCTGTCCATACTGGTGCAGCAAATGGTGACATCAGCCATGGCCATGTTATAGACAGGCTTCTCTGCTTTGGGGACACAACGCTGTTGCTGCAGGCAGTACAACACCACCAGTGGACTCACTATTCTGCAACCAAGCTGCACAAGAAATAAAAAAAACAAAACAAGAGTCAATCTCTGATAGAGCCTCAGGAGTGACATTTCACTGTTTAAAAGTGTAGAGTTCAACCTTCTTGCAGTGAAGAAAGGCTGGAGATGTAAAACTGGTGAACACAAACAGAGACTTGTCCTTCTTATCCATGCGCAAAACATCATCTTCTGTGATGGTTTTCAAATATTTTTCAGATTGCAGCTCCAAAATGGTCTGAATAAACCGGAGACAAACATGATTACCAATTTGTAAAACAAAGAGACAGTAAACACTAGAAGAAAGACTGGACCAGGCAGTAGAGCTTACCTCATAAGCTTTGGCAGCACAGTCTTTTTTTGATCCTTCACTTTCCACAAACTTCACAATGAAGGCTACTTTTTCTGCCTTAGACATGGTGACCCTGTACCAGCGACAAGACCTGGCATTTATTATAATGGCTGTGGCTGGCCTTAGCAGTAGCATCCAAATATAAAATGATCACCTACAAAGATTAAGTTATGACTAAGCACCTTAAGCACCGCCATACATTCAACACAAGCCTGCTATTAGCTTAAAATAATAACTTACTAGTTACTTACCTTTAATAGAAGAGCTCAAGAGCGCCAGTAAAGACAGTCTGTGTATTCCGACGGGAATCAGTATAAACTCTGATTAGTCATATGAAGCTAGTTTTACCTTAGTGCGGCTTATCAGCGAGTCTGTTGTCACTTTTTAGAAAGCCTACACTGACTTTATGTTAGCTGCGCAACATAAACTTGCGAGCTAACGTTCAAACCTGCATGTAGCTCAGTTACAACATAAAAACATCCAAAAACTACCACTGCTCATGTTATCGTAAACCAACAGTCCAACCAACAGTCCCGAGATATGGGTTTAACTAACTGACATACATTTTAAAACAATTTAATCGTAATAGTTTAGATATATAAATTGTGATCTTTGTTGATAGTGTTCGCGCCTTTGGCGCAACTTCCGGCGTTACCTGCTAATCTGACCGACTGGAGTGAACGTTTCAAAGGTTCCGCTACAGACATTAGAAAGCGAATTGGGGGTGATAAACTATATATTAATGTTTTAAAAATTAGAAACTTGAAAACTTCACTGAAGGGACCGTGTTTTTTTTTAAATTCTGACATAAATATATTAAAACCGTTTTCATTTTTAGCACATTTTCCCTATTCACATTGCCCTCAATGGCAGCTGTATTGACAATTTTTATGAATTTCCTTGATTTACGGTCAGGCTTATGAGGTGAGACCTAGTCCCTAATTCATGGCATCTATGTAGCTGGTGTAATCCACTATAAATTCAATATCCACATCCGTGAAAAGTTATGGTTCTGAAATAGATTGACATAATATAAATGACATAACTCTATGAAACATTTGCACTTATAAGCAAACAAACATATTGCCTGAGGCCTCAAGTATATCACATTGATTCTTGTATAAAAACATTTAACTGCAAAAGTGATTGGATTGAGAAATATTTTGATACATACCCGCCCCCCTTTTCATCTCTCTCTCTCTCTCTCAACAGACTTAACAGCTATAATTATTGTGAACAGAAAAAACAAGTAGAACAACACTGTGGGTTCCCTTTTATTCTTAAAATTTTATGTACAAGTGTCAACTGATTTTTTTTTTTTTCAATGTACATTCAATATAAAGTTTATATACGTAATATTACATTGAACATTTCACAAATTGCACTAGTCTTTCACATAGATTGGTAATCAGAGTCAATGTCATTCGTCATGTCAGCAGAAGCTCATTTCAGGTGGTTATTATTCACTCATAAATATTCTAGTGCTTTTTGCATTCTGGGGGAGAGTTACTTTAAAAAATATGAGGCAGAAAAGGGTAGCCTTCAAAGAGAGAGCAGAATGAAGTATGAATAAGATCAGAGGAAAAAAAGGCTGGATATTATGAGAGCTCTGTGTCATCTTTGACAGAAGAGGACTGAAGCTGACCTGATCAAAGCAGACCAGAGGTCAGCAGAAGTCTAAGGGGTTAAAGTGGCATTTTCTTTTGGAGAAATAGGCCAGAGAAATCATACACATCCATTTCTTCATGTCCCGTGATTTTTTTTTTCTTTTCCACATGAGAATGCGTTAATATAGACAAGTAAACAAAATGTTTATTTCAGTGGTGGATAGGTCCTGTGCGCTTGTTCGTCACAAATGAGGCCTCAGAGATGTAAGGTTAAGGTAGCCAATCAGAATATGCCAAAGAGAAAAAAAAATTAACAAAAAAGAAGCCTCAGTCTTCCCATGACTGTCTAATGAAAAAAAAAAATCAAGAGTAAAAAATATATTCATACAAAAAGTAAACTCTTCTCTGTCATTAGAAGAAATAAGAAAAGTAGAACAGAAACTAAACAAATGTGGTCATCCATTAAAACAAAGCATTTCTGAAGACTTGAGTGTCATTTGTAAGGGGCAAAGCAGAGTGACGCTGCAGGAGGTGTCGCAGAGGTTTTGGTGACAGTCAATGACGGCCCGCTCTCTCACTCGTCTTTTTTTCAGTTGTTTTGTTTTCCTCTCAACATCCCCTTCATGTGGGGAGCTGAACAGTCCCTCTCTGAGCTGCGGCCGTGAAGCTGCACTCTGGGTGCCTGAGCCTTTCAGTGTGCGTGTCCTTCAGCCTTGGTCTCCAGTGTCATTGTCCACAGGGGGTGGGACGTTGGGCATTACTGTGGTGCCCGTTCCTGCTGTAAGGTAACCTGCTACTCCTGGACCTACAATGACAGCAAGGCAGAAGAGACAGTTCAGATGTAAATTACAAGGATAGATGCAGGGCTAATGGGGAGCTAGAATGATGTACTACACACTAAGACACCAAGCATGGATGGGATGATCGCTACACTGGCTACAATGTTTTCCATGGGCTTAATTTAGTTTGACTACTGTGTAAACAACTAATGGATAATTTTCTAGAAAATCTGATTCTATTTTCTATGTTTTTCACTTGTAACTCTACATTTCAGCCTTTTAAAATGTGCTGGCTACATATTGCATACATAACACAAGCTGGCTGTTTTCCAATACATGTTGAGGATCCAGAACGGGTGTTAAGAGGTAATGAATTATTTTCAGTGTGAGTAAGATGAAATGGGTGGGAATGGAGAATGGCATGTGCAGCCAGGATGGAGGTAAAGAGGAATGATGGTAGGAGCCAGGACGGTCTACCTGCATCAGAGCAAAAGAGAGGAGGGCTGTGAGGGCCCAGTTCAGGAGTCTAGAGCCCACCTCGCAGTGGGCTGCTGGCGGCCAGGAGAGAAGGAGTGGAAACCCCTGAGGAGGAAATGTGGAGGAAAAAAGAGGAAGGGAAGGGCCAGGAAGTTATAGGACAGCTGGGTTTAAGCATAAGTGAGGAGTCAGCCATAAGGTGTTTTGCCTTTTTAGGGTAAAGCAAAGCATTAAGATCCATCATCAGCTCAGAGAAAGATGCAGAAGACTTACCTTTTAAAGCACTTTATATTTTAACAGTTTAGCTTGTTATTCAGGTTAATCACTCTTCTAATATGCAAAAAAGAAAACTTTACCTGTCAGGTAACCTGCAGTCTGAGACTCTGAGATGAAAAGATCGTGTTTCTGGTCTTTGAAGGCACTCCATACTGAAGACTTTGCAAGAATTTCATTCACCTATGGAAAAAAAACAAGCAAGAGTTCAAATATTTGATTGTTAAATAAACAATCATACCAATCATTCGATGACTTTAATAATTCGATCATACCTGCTCTCCATACTGTAGACTACGAGTCATGGACTTCAGAGCTTTAACTATCTGGGCCTTAGTAGCTGAAGGGTTTTCTAACGTCTCCAGGCCGATTCCTTCCAGTAATTTCAAGAGGTATGGAACCAGCTCCACCCTCAGAGCCTGTTAAGTTGTTATAGAAAGTTCCATTAAGGACACATGAAACATAGTGAGGGATAATAACAGCAAGGGTGACAGTGCACCTGGGCAACTAGGTCTGTCTGCTCCTTCTGGAACATGCGGTTGAGAGCTTCACAAGCCAATCCAGCCATGTCCGCCCGAACCTTCATCCCTGTCATCAGAGGGCCAATAGTCTCCAGAGAAGCCATGGACCGTACACACAGCTACACGAAACAAAGCATATCTTAGTTGATGTGGGTGAGGTGTCACTTTTACATAAAACATTTAAACTGGCTTAAGATGGTTCTGATTTTTTGTAGTCTTGCATTAAAATTAGTTTCTTACCTCATTATCTGAAAGTACATGGATGAGGCGGATGGAGCTCTTGGGCACGGCATTGTTCTTGTGGTTGAGTGCCGCCAAGATCCGAGGCAGGTGGCCCAAAGGAGGGACCTGGTCGGCCAGCTGGCACTGTGTGCTGAACAGGCAAACTGCCGCCGTGGTAACCGTCTCCAGGGCCTCACCCTGCAGAAGATAACAGAATAAGACAGAAAAAGTCTAACTTCTGCATTCACTAGAAATTTGTAGTTGTTTCTCAGTTAGGAAGCTCACATTGGGATTGTTCTTCTCCAGGAGCTCAGTCAGGGTTTCCAGAAGTGACACCAGGAACTCTCGAGGCTTGCGTAGCACCCACCCAGGCTGAGCAATAAAGATGCGCAAGAAGACTCCACCAACTTCAAGCTCGCCCTGTCCGGCTCCATAAGCCACTGTGAAGTCTTCTGGCAACTGAGCACACAGATTAGGAGTTTAGTTTCACATTCATAGTTCCTACAGATACACCAACTTAAAATAATGACTTTTCATACTTACTTTCCAGTTCACATCAGGATTATCTTTCTGCTGTTTAAAGTGCCTGGAAAAGATTTAAAGTGATTTAGTACAAGACATAAAACATCCTATTAGAGTGTCTAACTATTCTTTATCTGGTTAAAACAGTGTTTGTCACACACTCAAGCATCATCTCCCGGACAGTAGTAGACACTTTCTCCCTTGAGCTGTCATTCCAGATGAGCTCAGGGTTTTCGTGCGTTCCCTCAAATATGTGAACTGCTGCCTCAGCATTGTCCCGCATGGCATCCATGAATACACCAGGGAGGAAACGCATCAGTGTTAGACGCACCTAAAAGAGAAAGCAGAATATGAAACAGCAAAAGTGAGTTGAAGATATGTTGCGACACATCATAAGGTAAAAGGGAGAGGAGAGTGATTAAGTCTTTTATTTATTTTTTTAACTCCAATCTGACCTTTGGCCCAACCAGCTTGTCTGAAGTCATCTTTGAGAAGAGCTCTGCAGTCTGTGTGCGAACCTGGGGGTGTGTGCAATTACAGAAGAGGTCCAGCAAATAGATCAGAGCACCTGCAGGACATAAAGATTAACAGAAACATCTGTGATTCAAAATTCAGATAAATGTAGCCAGCAATCACTAAAAAACAAACAACAACAAAAACAAACAAACAGTAGAACACTGACCTTTGGCCATTGCCTCTTTGACGATCTTCGTGTTAGACGTGAGTGCATAGAGGGTTTCCAGCACCATTTGCCTGCCTGAAGGACACAAAGGAGTATTTCAGTGTGTGAAGATGCATTACAGGGATAGGGAGAAGAGGAAAGACAAAGAGTATGACAGTCAGTTGTGTTTTCTCACTGGAAGGAAGTGAGTGCAGCAGCACCAGAAGGTTGGACAACACTAGAGATTCAGCGATGTTGCTCACACACTCTTGATTTGATGTCACTGTATTCACAACCTGCAGAAGACACCAATATGATAACAATCCAGGGATTCACAGTAAGTACATGTAAGGACCCAAGACCTGTTGATCTCTACCTCCAAAACCAGCTGTTGCACTCTACCAGCTCCATGAACCCGCAACAAGGAGAAGAGCAGCTTGAAGTGACCGATGCACTCCGACTCTGATCCTGTAATTACACCAAGAGAAATACTTAGAAAGAAGCTCCAAACTCACAGCACTTAAATAAACATAACGTCAGTCAGTCTGGAAGCTCACCAGGGTTGTTCTTGATGACATTACG